TACAATTTTTACAATTTATATTCAACGAGGAAATATCTACATTAGCATCAGTCCCCAAACTAGGCCAGACCTGTATCTTGGGGACTATGAGTGCGGTTACCTACTTAATACAATTTATTTACAAAAAAGATAAATAAATAAGGAAAACATGTGCGTGCGTGCGTGCGTGCGTACGTGTGTACGTGCGTGCGTGCGGGCATGCGTGCGTGCGTGCGTGAGTGCGAGCGTGTGTGCGTGCGTGCGTGCGTGTACCCAAAATAGTCGACATATCTGTATTGCTTTCGATTGAGTTCTTCATTTTGGTATTATATGTTAGATAACTGATATCTGATGTTTTTGTTATAAGGCTACTACTACCTTAGATTATACAGATAGTGTCTGCATACAAATGCTTTGAGAAAAGCTCTTTCATGCAATTTTACGTGATAAATAGTTATGAGTGTTTCCTTTATGACATCTGTATTTATTTTTTTTATAATTTTTGCATCTTTTTAATGCGTATAAATTCTTATTTTTCATAAATAATTAAATATAAATACGTCAAGATATATTATGTGCATAAGTATATAGAACACTGATTAAAAAAACGAGTAAGCTAATTTGACAATTAGCTGACAAAACGTAGACCCGTTTTTGAGACTCGAAGCTCTGTCTATATAATTTAAAGCTACAACATTGATATTGTAACTACGATATATAGATATTGCAATATCTCGACTAACAAGTATAACAGACATAATTTTGAACAACTTTTTAAATCAGTAAATCGAATACATATTACTTTCTTATTAATAGATCCAGATTCCCATGTTCCCATGTTTCAATTGAATGGGCCAACTCACACGTCCCGTATCATAATGATTTACGCAGGAACTTTCCCGTTTACATTTCCCTGTCCGTTCCAGGAAAATGGAATAGGTATCATTTATGTGGAATTACATCTTCAACGGACGGTCGTCCCTACCAATAGTCCTTTTAATATAACTTATAGCAATACAGGATGTGTGTAACACCGGATGTTATTATTTAGTTTTATTAGATATAGATTTAAAAGAGTAACTGTTGAGTTTCTTGCGGTCTCTTTCTAACAGATAACAACCTTCCAAAGCCTGCATTAGATAAAAAAATGACGATTTAAAAGTGCTTGCAAACAAGTCTGCTTGAAAAAGACGATTTGAGTTTGAATTTATTGCTAGCGATCGTGCCTGGATATAGCTCATGTCGCCCACTAATAATGTAGCTTTCTACAGGTGAAAGATTTTTTAAAAACCTTTACATGTATATAATAAAATCTTATCTCTTTATGATATTAGTATCGACTAGCCTGCTATGGTTTAACATAGTTTTTTTTTTTTTTTTAATAAAATGCAGCCTATGTTACTCACTAGTAGCTTTTTAATGTTTTTTTTTTTTATGTAATTCAATGTAGCTTTTTCTAGGTGAAAGAAACTGCAAAATCAGTTTTTTTTATTTATTTATTACAAGCAAAATATCTAATCATTGCTTTTTTATAATTTTCAACAAGCTACTATGTTTTCATAATAATCTTACCAAAATAAAATAAGTTGCAGAAAGAGACGATGGACAAAAACAATTTTTTTTTTAATGTAAAATAAATTTAGAAATGCATTAAATGTACTTCTTTTGTTTGAATGTTTGTTAAACACGACTATTCAAGAATGCTTATAAAATTATGTTTACTTGAATAAAAAAAAAATAATGAAATCTTGGTACATAGATGATGGTCTAGCTTTTCTAAAGAAAGTCGACGGTAGTTATATAAAAAGATGTAATAAAAACTGCACGGTAAGTCTAATATGATGTCGATTTAAATGCTATAAAAAAATATACTCTGTATTATCGTCTGTTTTCGGTTTAATCAAATCTATCTGTTATACCCTATATAGTCATAAATTATTATGGTTCTCTTAATACTCTTAAGAGACGCCATTGTATTAAGAACAATTACAGTTTAAACGGTGAATTCTTAGAATTATCTAATATTGAGTAATCTTTTTAATTAAATTATTTTCCTTTGGCGTCCCGTTCATTAAACTAAGTACATTTTATATTACAAATTCGTACATATAGGTTGTGAAATGCGCTCCTGTCTTCAGTTTTCCCTTTACAATAATCATATGGGGAATTTCTAAAAACGTGCCTACAAACATTTAAAATGCCGGCAATGCACAAGCAACTCCTCTCATATTGCATGTTAATAAGCGACGGAAGCCGCTTTCCATCAGGTAGACCGTCTGTTCGTTTGCCTATCTAATAATAAAAAAAGGAATATCGTAAAAAATATTATAGAATGGCAAACAAGCTGGCATGATGGAAAGCGATAACCGTTGCCTATAGACGCTTTACGACACTCATGATACCCACAAGCGTTGACATTCTTGAGAACAGTGGTATGTTATGGCTCCGTACCCTGTATTTTCATATTTTACACTCTGGTACACTACTATTAATAATAATAATAATAACGATTTATTTTTTAAATGACAAGTTACAGATTACAAGACATAATAACTTTGTATGATAAAAAGAAATTAAGATGCAGTGTATAAATTAACAACAACTTCTGCATTGCTAACAATTGTCCTATGTATTTTAATAAGAGCTCATTCCATCCACCAAATTTTATCACTAGTCATCATCAGATGAATAAAATGAAGCGCAAACTCATCTTGTAAAGAAAAAAATATATAATTATTGCTCCTAAAAAAAATAATAGCATCGGTGTAAAAATAATAAACCTGGACTGAACTGATTTGTTTTACTGCTTGAACGATAAAATAAAAAAAATACGAGTTACAAAGTCTGATTAGATTTATCATATCTAAAATTTTGAATTTTAAAAAGCATATGACAAATTAATTTCAGTTGTCAAGTTTTAGTCAGAATGAGTATACTTGACTATACTTGGCATAATAGTAAACAGCCAATGTGTTCTAAATAAGTAAACAGCTATATTTCTATACAGTACGGAAGATCGTAACCTTAATAATTAATATTCTTAAATATCGACTCTAAAAATGTAACTAATTATAAAAAAAAATAGGGAAGAAGAGCAATGGGAGGCCTATGGTTGAATTTCTACTAGTAAACCTTTAAATAAATCTGGTAAGAGTTACAACCAATATAAACCTTATTGTACATAATCTTTAAACAAATTCTAATTTAAAGATAAAAAAAAAATTCAATGATTCAAAACATATTCAATTTATACTTAATTGCATGCATACGAGTTTTTACAAAGCCCACGTTAAACGTCATATAATTGTTGGTAGGAAGGGCGAGATCCATAATTTAATGATTCAGCATAGGTAGGATTCTGACCCTGCATGTTTCAGTGGGTGCCAAGGTTGCGGGCAGTTAGCCCCTTAGTATGCAAACTGTTATTAGATAGATAGATACTCTTTATTGTTTCCTCTAAAAGATTACAGTAGTAAACTTATTACAAATATTAACAATTACAAGAAATAATCACAATGAGAAAACAATGGGCGACCTTATCGCTAAAAGCGATCTCTTCCAAGCAACCTTTGGATAGAGAGGAGTATTTATAAACAGTTTGATCGGAGGCACGATGAAATTCTATTATTTCTAAAATATAGAGATATGATACATGTAATAATGTAAATATATATTCCTATTTATTATATATATTTCTATTTATTTATTTATTTATAGGATTACCAACATAAGATACAGCAAATCATTTTAATACAATACACTGATAGATTAGATTTAACTGTTCTTACATTTATAGCATGCCTTGAGTTTGATAAACATTAAATACTATTATATACTTTTAAATAGTATATGCGTATATATGTGTGTATATATGTATATACTATTATATACATATATACACACATATATACATTGTACTGTTATTGTAATCTATTGGGTCATATCTGTGTTAGTGCGTAGTATACAATAAGAAAATTGTTTATTAAAAGGTTTATTAATGGCAAATTAGCACTGCACGTACTTGGTTAACTGTCGCCGCTCCATTTCTTATTTTCTTGGTTATTTTCTATGTTCATTACAACATCATTTATCATTTATTCTAATTGAAATAGCTTTCTTTTGCCATACGTTTATGCAATATTTATAAATCCCAAATTTAATAAATATGTCTAGTCAATTATTAATTTAAAATTTTCATAGATGGTAGGCAATTGAAATTATTTTCATTATTAACTAAGGTCGTGATGCTATAATTTTTTTTTTTAATATCTATTTGTGATACAAAATCTTGATAAATGTTATTGGCAAAAGTAGTAATTTTAGATTTACAAAGTGGTTCCGCTTTTTAATTTTAGACACAAACTTTTCCCTTTTTTTATATTAGAATTACTACATCTATATAGAGAGAGACATTGTCACCCTTTTAAGATATTAAGCCATAAAAACTTAAAAAAAATATTCTTCTACAAGTTAGATTGAGAAAAACATGTTAATACATATTAGAAGCTAACAATTATTTACCTTTTTCGTCCCATATTCCTTTAAGAGAAAAAAAAATCTATTTCACGTGCAGAATACTCCTTTAAAAGACTAATAATTTCTATTTTAATGTATACACTCATAATCGCAACATTTACAAATGAGAATTAAGTATATTTTTATTAGGCATGGGTGATATGGATACCGTTACGGGTTTATTAATTGCAGCTGCCCTGCGAAAAGCTGAAGACCGTGCACAATGGAATAACATCATAAGAGAGGCAACAGATACCTTTCAAGGACACGACCTTCAGTAATGAAGAGGACGAAGAGAGAGAGATAGGAGAAAAAAGGTCATCATTCATTCGATATCGCCCATAACGGTCGAATATGTTAAAAGTCTGTTAACCAATATTATTTTTTGTATAACAAACTGTATACATATTCGGTATTGGGCCAAAATATATATATTGTAACTATATATTGCTATTAATTAAAATATAAATAGATATTGCTATATTTTATCAAACCCTAGTTCTTACCTGAATGTTAAAGTAACTTGTCCGTATAACTTTTTATTATCCAACAAGGCATCTGGCTCGACTTGTATCACACCCTGTATCCTGTCGATGACACCGTTCTCGACGATGAGATCGCGCGAAGCGAGGTACATCGTCAGCTTCGCGTTCGGCGATGATTTCCTGAACACTCTGTAGACAATACGAAAATCAATTAAAGCTAATAATTACGAAGCCAAATTACCTAGAAGTAGTAGTACCACCTAGTCCATAAGAGATTATTTTCTACATAACTAGCACTAATTATTTTTTTACGATTCTTATTATTTCCAACCAAATTAAAAAAAGGAGGGGCTTCTCAATTCGATTGTATATTTTTTTATATTGTTACCTCAGAATTCCATCATTTATAAACTAATTTGTTTTTTTTTTAAGGATTTACTTTCTGATTGGTTCCTTATTAATATCAAAATCGGTTCAGTAATTTGGTTTAATATCAAAATGGTTAGTTTTACCACGACTGAAATCGGTTTTCCTTTTTTGATTTTCCATTTTTTATATCTTATTTAATATATTCAATGTGAAAATTTGTAATGATGAATGGATGGATGTTTGTTTCTCTTTCATGCATAATCTAATCCATAATCTATTACTGAATAGATTTGAATGAAATTTGATACACAGGTAGGTTATATCCTAATAACCAGAGGAAGACTGTACAAAAGTCGTTTGCTTGGGCACCTCTCTCCCATTCGTGTTTCTACAGTTAACGGTGATATGATGAATTACCCATTAAAAAGACGCTAATAATTTAGATTTCATTCTGTGTATTAAAATATATCTAGTTAGTAGTTGTGGTTACATGGCTGTGCATTTCCGATTAAAGGGTAGGATATGCTAATGAAGTTATATATCCTATTTTCGCATCATCTCGGGTACAGAGGCCAATACCAGAGAAAGACTTTGTTTCTACCGTGAAGCAGTTGTTTTTGCATGGCTGTGATTCGGTTTGAAGGGTGGGATATGGCAGTGAATTATAAAGTACAAAGGAATAACACCTGAGTCCTCAGGAATAGCAACGCATGGGGGTATCATGGGCGAAACAGTATACTCTGTTATGTCCTTAGTACTGCTCATGTCTATAGGCGACAGTTACTACTTTCCATCGAGTGGGCCGTTAGCTTGCTTGCTATTTTTAGTTGAATAAAAAAATACCTATACCGAATTATTAAAAAAATTGATAAGCACTCGTCATTTTAAAGAAAAAATTAATGAATTCGATAAACAAAGATATTTCTGACTTACAAAGGTCTAGATTACTAGGTCATCGTTACAAAATTCACAAACGAATTATATTAGTTTAAAGGAATATCAATCTTAACGTTTAAACCTCACCGTTGGGAATTCAACGCGTTGTCCGTCGTCATGTCGACTTCACCTGTGAACAATTTTTTTTTTAATATTAGTAGGTATTTGGAAAAGAATACGGGAAACATTTGAAGAGTGTACGCAAAGTAAAAAGAGTATTTGATTCTGGAATTCTTTTTATAGATGAGTAAATTGCAATTGGTTTAATTATAACGTTGATCGTTACCTCCTACGTGTTCCATTTTTTGTTGAAATGAAAAAAGTTTTGAATTGCTAAACATTTTTCACGCAGTTTAATTTGTAGGTGTTTACATAGAATACCGGGGTGAAATATGAAGACTGTTCGTACCCAAATTAAGGTCAGAAATTTCAAAAACATAAAAAAATCAGTATTTTTCAATCGACTTCGAAAAGAATATTTAGTTGTTTTTTTTTCTTTTTTATGTTTGTTACCTCATAATTTTGTTTGTTCTAACCTGATTTAGAAAATTCATTTTTTAACTAAAAGGATATACATACAGACTGTTTTTATAGAAATTTTATAATAATCAGTCACTACTTGACCGATTTTATATCAAAAATTAGTTTTTATATCAAAACAACTGGTTGTGTTACAATTGAAGATTTTTTTGTGATTGTTTTTATTAACAAATATCGAAGTTAAACAAATTGCACATAAATCAACAAGCGAAATATTTTGTATATTATCTTTTATCCTTAAAATCTAAAATCTTATTTCCAATCTTAAGTTAGTAATATAAGTTTTCTGGGTCACTTATAAATTAAAATTTGTAAACACAGAGTAAAATATATTTTCAAGACCAACGAAATTTGAAAGATACAAGTTAATATATTATTTGGTAGAATAATTTCGTCAACTGTAATTAATAGCTCGCCCTGTGGTTTCTAATATGCTCGGCGAAATCTGCGGGTCTACCATGAAATGAAATTCCGAATTTTCGGACTCAATTTCGTGTTTTTGTTTATACCAAAATCGGGCCAATAAATGGAGTTTAACATTTCGTTCGTCATACATCTTATCATAAAAGTCCAAAGGAACGATATTTTAATATTATTAATATTTCCAAACGGCATGTATTATGTAATTGTAACATCAAATTTATGTGTCGGTTGGTTTCGAAATTTCAGAGAACATTTCATGGTAGGCCCTCTGTGCATATCGAGTATTACGTACACTAAAACAGTCACAGGCAACAAATGACAGACTACCCTATTCACGGACCCTTCATAGACTTAACTATATTCATTTATATTATTTATATATAATAAATTCGTTCGTAAATTAATAAAATTTAGATACCATAAATTATAAATAGAAATCATCATCATTATCTTTTTAATCTTTTTCAATTCGTTTTCTGTTTATAATTACTCTTTTCCATCCAGAAGTTATCTGGAAGAGATCGCGTTTAGCGATAAGACCGCCCATTGTTTTTTAGTATAATGTTTTTTTTTTTTGTAATTGTTTGTATTTAAGTTATTAGTTTACTATTGTAATCTTACAGAGAAAACAATAAAGAATATCTATCTATTTGTTTTTTTTTTTATTTTTTTTATAGGTGATAATGAAATAGTAACCCCACCCGCGCTCTCGGTATACGCTGATAGGGCACCAATGAAGGATGATAAATAAGGATGAAACAGGTCAGATAGTCCATCGTGATGAATTCAACGAGAATTGTTCAAGATGGTTTCCAGGGGGAACCACGTGGAGGTTGACCTGATATTGCTAGCAATGGGGGTGTCAAACTCCATTACTAACAATCCCTTTCCCCCATCTTTTTAGGATTGGCAGTATTATGTTTTAATCCATATTAATCAAGGTTTTGGTTTTTGCTTTTACGACCGGCCTCCTGCCTGACGTCTTTGGGAATGTATTTGTTGACTACCCTTAAGTAAATAAATATGTTAAAAACCCACGAAATTTATAGTAATATATCTCTATATCTTCCATTCGGTTGCACATATATGTATTTTTTTATACAACTTAGAATGATAAACAAGCTAACGGCCCACCTGATAGAAAGTGGTAACCGTCGCCTATAGACATGAGCAGTACCATGGACAAACAAGGTATACTGTTTCGCCATGATACCCCCCATGCGTTACCATTCCTGAGGACTCAGGTGTTATTCCTCTGTACCTGTAAATTCATGCCATATAAAGTCTATGACATTAATTTATAAATATACATCAAAGAGCCTAAATTAAAGAACAAATAATTGGTTGACTTTGCAGTTGACAGCTTTTAAATTGAACAATTTTAAAATTTTGATTGAATTTCCATTACACAACGTTAATATGATTATTCTTTACCGAATCAATATATAAATATTGTAACTACAGTATATCATCCCAACCAACCACTGTCCACCGCTGAACATAAGCCTTGCCCATAAGGGGACAGACTACAGTAAATAGGCAACTATAGTATTCAGAAATTGCCTAATACTTATTACCCACCCAATACTTATAGATATGTCATGATTAATTACATAAATATACTAAAATAGTTTAACTTGTTCAGATACCTTTATCTTCTATACTTATAATAAATCTGTAGAGAGGTCAATTCTGTACATGAAATATATTTCCAAAATAACTAACAGGGGGTGATTAGTGATCGATACAGATGCCAAAAATGCAATCGGTAAAATTTTTGTCTGTCTGTCTGTATGTTCGTTATAGAAACAAAAACTACATGACGGATTTTAACGAAACTTGGTACAATTATTCTTTATACTCCTGGGCAGGTTATAGTATACTTTTGATCACGCTACAATCAATAGGAGCAGAGCAGTGAAGGAAAATGTTGGGAAAACGGCTGCACGCGTGTGCAGCCTTAATGGCCACTTATTAAAATGTAAAAATGTCCACCCGTGCGACGCCGGGACGGGCCGCTAGTATCTAATAATATTGTACTGAATTAGATACAGAATCTATTTTTTTTTATTTTAGCTGGACATTTCGACAGTGGTAATGGTTTAATAACAATGATCTTCTAAGGAAACCACCTTTGAAGATATATTTATCTAAGCAGACGCCGTTTCTTTGAACTAAGCCATGAAACTAAAGGTCGGAGGTCCTTCGTTCACATGTTCTATATGTATTAGAATTTACTTCATCTTTTCAACCGACTTAAAAAAAAAGAGGTTTTCAGTTAGGTTTTTTTTTTTATTTGTCGCCTCATAATTCCGTCAGTTATAAACAGCTTTTTGAAAATCTTTCTTTCTTATCTGAAAGGGCATACTTATAAATAAGTCTCATAGAGATTTTATTAAAATCGTTTCAGTAGTTTAGTTCTTAAATCAAAACAACTGCATTTGCTACAACTGAAGACAGTTTTTTATAAAACACAATTTTAATATAAAATTAGGTCGATTGTTAAATATACCAATACAAAACTTTATTTCGAAAGATTACGTTCCGATTAATTAAATAAAGGTAAATATTTATTGTACGAGTATTCTTAAGTGGCATTTACCTGCACTTTTGTTTGCGTGGATTTTAAAAGTAGGTAATCACTTCTAAATGACGTATTGTAAAACCGCATTCAATTTGAAACAGTAATTTTGCGTGTGGCTGGAATAAACATACCTAAGATACAGACAGACAAAAATTCCAAAGGTTAAGCTTAAGCTTATTTTGGCTTCTATTACTCTTATTGAGACACCCCTTATATAACTTTTTCTGAAATATTTTCTATATGCAGATATCGTTTACTTACAGTTTTATTATATTTATTAAGTCATCAATGGATAATAATAAACTAATATAGTTTATCTAAACTTACGAAGAAGCAAATAAGAATTTCTGTTACAAAGATTGATTTGAAAACTTTTATTTGGAAAACAGGTACTTCAGACGTAACTTAATTCACCCCAAACAAATATATTGATTTCTTCATTGGGCCTGTCAAATAGCGAAGTTAAATATTGGCGCTTTATACACTTTTTATTGTAATTTTATTTTCCAACAATTCTCGCTTGTATCATTATTATTCGTCTTACAAATATTTTCTTAGAATCGATAATAAAAGTTCTTTAAAGTTATTACAATACGTATACGTAGGCCATTAAAAAATCAAAGCCAGTATTCCAAGTATATTATACCTATTTATTAAAACTTAGAATGTTAAAACAACTGATTCAAAATGACGACTTTCAATTATAGAAATACACAGCACAGAATATAACTATAACGTCCTTTCATATGTTACCATTCCTGAGGGATAAGATGTTATGCTTTCGTACCCTGTAATTTCACTGACATATCCCATAATTCAAACTAAAACACAGTCATGCACAGCTGCATCACATGCGGAATACGAATGAGACATAGACACTCAAGCAGATGACTTTTGTACAAAGCCTCCCTCTGGTAAATAAGTCGTATCAAGACGATTTCTTAATAAAAAACTTACCTATCTTGAAATAAAGAAATATGTAGTTCAAAACTATATGTTTAACTTGATTTCAGACTGACATATATCTGAATCATCATTAATATATTTAGTAGTAGCTATATCCAGCATAAATATTTTATAACTTTGTATGTTAACTGATTTATAACATTATATCTTTTGCGTTATAATGTTATAATTATTTTTAATTAATAAATAAATAAATATTTTGTATGACATATAATTGATTATAATATTTATATTACATTATATGTCAAAATTATATCGAAATTATATGTCGAATAATGGACTTGACTTCTCTAATAATATAAACGGTTATTTGATTAGTATACCAGTAAAGTATATACGTTTACCAGAGAGAAACTGTACAAAAGTCGTTTGCTTGGGCACCTCTGTCCATTCATGTTTTTACCGTAAAGCAGTTATGTTTGCATGATTGTGTTTATGTTAATATTATATATATATATATATATATATATATATATATATATATATATATATATATATATATACTCTGTTATGTCCACAGTAGTAGTATAACATGAGCAGCATATCTATATAGGCAATGATTACCACTTTCCATCAGATCGACTCTCAGCTCGTTTGCCATTCTAAAATGATTAAAA